CAGAATTAAAAGGGAAAATAGAATGCAATGCACTCATTCTAGGAGACTTCAACACTCCACTCACTCTGAAGGACAGATCAACTAAACAGAAAATAAGTAAGGACAGAGAGGTACTGAACAACACATTAGAACAGATGGACCTAACAGATATCTACAGAACTCTACACCCAAAAACAACAGAATACACATTCTTCTCAAGTGCACATGGAACATTTTCAAGAATACATCATACACTAGGCCACAAAAAGAGCCTTGGTAAATTCAAAAGGATTGAAATTATACCAACCAGTTTCTCACACCACAAAAGTATGAAACTAGAAAGAAATTAAACAAAGAAAATGAAAAATCCCACAAATACATGGAGGCTTCACAACATGCTCCTAAATAACCAATGGATCAATGACTAAATAAAAACACAGATCATGCAATATATGGAGACAAATGACAACAATAATTTAACACCACAAAATCTCTTGGATGCAGTGAAGGCCTTGCTAAGAGGAAAGTATATTGCAATACAGGCCTACCTTAGGAAAGAAGAAAAATCCCTTATAAGCAGTCTAAACTCACAATTAACAAAACTAGGAAAAGAAGAACAAATGAGGTCCAAAGTCAGTAGCAGGAGGGACATAATAAATATTAGAGGAGAAATAAACAAAATTGAGAAGAATAAAACAATAGAAAGAATCAGTGAAAGTAAGAGCTGGTTCTTCGAGAAAATAAACAAAATAGGTAAACCCACAGCCAGACTTAATCAAGGAAAAAAGAGTCTCCTCACATAAACAGAATCAGAAATGAGGAGGGAAAATCACTATGGACACCACAGAAATACAAATAATTAGAGAATATTATGAAAAATTACATGCTAACAAACTGGATAACCTAAAAGAAATGGACAACTTTCTAGAAAAATACAACCTTCCAAGGCTGACCCAGAAAGAAATAGAAAATCTGAACAAACCAATTACCAGCAACAAAATTGAACTGATAATCAAAAAACTACCTAAGAACAAAAATCCCTGGACCAGATGGCTTCACCACTGAATTTTATCAAACATTTAGTGAAGACCTAATACCCATCCTCTTTAAAGTTTTCCGAAGGGTAGAAGAAGAGGGACTACGTCCAAACTCATTCTATGAGGCCAGCATCATTCTAATACCAAACCAGGCAAAGACACCACAAAAAAAAGAAAATTGCAGACCAATATCCCTCATGAATGTTGATGCAAAAATAGTCAACAAAATATTAGCATACCGAATTCAAAAATACATCAAAAAGATCATCCATTATGATCAAGTAGGATTTATTCCAGGGATGCAAGGATGGTACAACATTCGAAAATCCATCAACATCATTCACCACATCAAGAAAAAGGACAAAAACCACATGATCATCTCTATAGATGCTGAAATAGCATTTCACAAAATTCAACATCCATTCATGATAAAAACTCTCAACAAAATTATATAGAGGGCAAGTACCTCAACATAATAAAGGCCATATATCACAAATTTACAGCCAACATTATACTTAACAGCGAGAAGCTGAAAGCTTTGCCTTTAAGATTGGGAAAAAGACAAGGATGCCCACTTTCCACACTTCTATTCAACATAGTACTGGGTGGGCAAGCCACAGCAATCAGACAACACAAAGAAATAAAAGGCATCCAGATAGGCAAGGAAGAAGTTAAACTGTCACTGTTTGCAGATGACATGATATTGTACATAAAGAACCCTAAAGAATCCAATCCAAAACTACTAGATCTAATATCTGAATTCAGCAAAGTTGCAGGATACAAAATTAATATGCAGAAATCTGTGGGATTCCTTTACACTAACACTGAACTAGCAGAGAGCAAAATCAGGAAAACAATTCCATTCACAGTTGCATCAAAAAGAATAAAATACCTAGGAATAAACCTAACCAGGGAAGTGAAAGACCTATATCCTGAAAACTATAAGACACCCATGAGAGAAATTAAAGAGGATACCAATAAAGGGAAACACATCCTGTGCTCATGGATATGAAGAATTAATATTGTCAAAATGGCCATTCTGCCTAAAGCAATCTACATATTCAATGCAATCCCTATCAAAATACCAACAACATTCTTCAAAGAACTAGAGATAATCATTCTATAAATTAATATGGAATGACAAAAGACCCCGAATAGCCAAAGCAATCCTGAGAAGGAAGAATAAAGCTGGTGGGATTATGCTCCCAAACTTCAAGCTCTACTACAAAGCCACAGTAATCAAGACAATTTGGTACTGGCACAAGAACAGATACATAGACCAATAGAACAGACTGGAGAGCCCTGATATAAACCAAACCAGATATGGTCCATTAATGCATGATAAAGGAGCCATAGACATACAATGAAGGTAATAACAGCCTCTTCAACAGCTGGTGTTGGCAAAACTGGACAGTTACATGCAAAAGAGTAAAACTGGATTAATCTTTAACCCATATACAAAAGTAAACTCAAAATGGATCAAAGACTTGAATGTAAGTCATGAAACCACAAAACTCTTAGAAGACAACAAAGGCAAAAGTCCCCTGAATATAAGCATGAGCAACTTCTTCCTGAACTCATCTCCTTGAGCAAGGGAAACAAAAGAAAAAACGAACTCATGGGACTACATCAAACAAAAAAGTATGTGTACAGCAAAGGACACCATCAACAGAACAAAAAGACATCCTACAGTATGAGACAATATATTTGTAAATGACATCCAACAAGGGGTTAACATCCAAAATATATAAAGAATTCACATGCCTCAACACCCAAAAAAGCAAATAACCTGATTAACAAATGGGCAAAGGATATGAAGAGACAGTTCTCCAAAGAAATTCAGATGGCCAACAGACACATGAAAAGATGCTCCACATCACTAATCATCAGGGAAATGCAAATTAAAACCACAATGAGATATCACCTCACACCAGTAAGGGTGGCCCACTTTGAAAAGACTAAGAACAACAAATGTTAGCGAGGATGCAGAGAAAGGGGAATCGTCCTACACTGCTGGTGGGAATGTAAGCTAGTTCAACCATTGTGGAAAGCAATGTGGAGGTTCCTCAAAAAACTAAAACTAGAAATACCATTTGACTGGGGAATTCCACTCCTTGGAATTTATCCAAAGAGTACAACTTCTCAGATTCAAAAAGACATATGCACCCCTATGTTTATTGCAGCACTATTTACAATAGCCAAGATCTGGAAGCAACCCAAGTGTCCTTCAGTAGATGAATGGATAAACTTCTATGTGTGGTACATATACACAATGGAATATTATTCAGCCATGAGAAGAAAACAAATCCTACCATTTGCAACAACATGGATGGAGTTAGAGGGTATTATGCTCAGTGAAATAAGCCAGGTGGAGAAAGACAAGTACCAAATGATTTCACTCATCTGTGGAGCATAAGAACAAAGCAAAAACTGAAGGAACAAAACAGCAGCAGTCTCACAGAACCCAAGAATGGACTAACAGTTACCAAAGGGAAAGGGACTGGGGAGGGTAGGTAGGAAGGGAGGGGATAAGGGTAGTAAGGGGCATTATGATTAGCACACATAATACCAGGGGGCACAGGGAAGGAAGTATAGCACAAAGAAGACAAGTAGTGGCTCTAAAGCATCTTACTATGCTGATGGGCAGTCACTGTAATGGGTTTGCGGTGGGGACTTAATATGGGTAATGTAGTAACCACAATGTTGCTCATGTGAAACCTGAGCACAAGATTGTATACCAATGACACCCTAATAAAAAATAAAAAAGAAAGTAAATATAATAAAAAAAATAATGCTTGAAACACTAAAAAAAAAAATTACAAAGAAAGACAGTGGTAAAGTCTTATGCTTGTCTTCCACTAATGTGGCTTTTTATAGACCTTTAAAATAACAGATTAGCTTCAGGTCAAACCAGTCTATGTATGTGTGCACATGTGTACCACAGCAAACTTAATAAACACTTCTCTTTCTAAAGGTATTTGGCAGAGACAAACAAGCCACATGCATATTACCAAGCTGTTATTTTAAAAAATAGCATATTTAGACCTTACTATTGTTTCAATTTTATTTTAGACTTATAGAAGAGTTGCAAAGAACAAACAACTCTCTCCCAGGTACCCCTAATATCTTAAATAATCATAGTACAATTACCAAAACTAAGGAATTAACATTGGTATAATATTATAAACTAAACTACAGATTCTATTCTGATTTCACTTGTTTTTTCTGTTTCCAAATCCTTTAATTCATCAGACTTCCCTTGTCTTTCATGACTTTGATATTTTTTAAGACTACTGGTCAGTTACTTCATTATGGGTTCGTGTGATTTGTCTCATGATTAGATTGAGGTTTTACAATATTGTAACGCATACCACAGAAATGATATACCCTTCTCAGTGCATGATGTCGCAAGCACATTATGTCAGCATGTCTTATTAGTGGTAATGTTAACTTTTGATCACTTGGATTAAGATGATGTCTGCCAAGTTTCTCCACGTAAAGTTACTACTTTTCTTTTTGTAATTAATAAATATTTTTGGCAAGAGACTTTGAGGTTATACACATACCCTGTTTCACCTTAAGTTTCACCCATTAAATTTAGCATCTCTCAGTGGATCCTGTCTGCATGGTCTTTCTGGTGTTAATTTTATATTTCTCTTATTACTTTTATATGTATTAATTATAATACTATTGTAAGAAAGAATTATCCCTTTTCACAATTTATTGTTTATTTCTCATTCATTAATTTATTCATTTGAATCAATCCAGATTCATGGGTATTTATTTTATTCTTTGCTAATAATCACATGCTAACTTTATTGATTTTGTTCATCCAACTGTTTCATCCTTAAAAATGGGAGTTCTTCCAGGTTGACTCTTATGCCCTTCTGAGAAGGCAAACACTTTCAAATCATCCTAATTTCAATGACAAAATTTCTGAACCTCCTTCATCCCCCTCACAAATTATATTAATGACATGCATACCTGTGATACTGATTTCATCTTCATTTCTTCAGCAGCAGCAGGGAAGGAACATGTTGAGGCACAGTAATAATGAATAAAAGAACTTTCTTTTGAAGAGAGCTTCTGAAATAAGGGAAATGCCTGAACCCAAGACAATGGAGAAGAAAGCTCTAATTCTCCATTTGTTGTACTTATTTCTGTCATAATATCTTTCAATTTCAATTCCTCTCTTTGTGAAATAGGATTGTGTAGCTCAAGGAAAATGAATTCAGTTGACTTTGCTATAAAAGAAAAAATGAATTTTAATCAATAACATTATTTTTCAAGGAGATTATAATCAAAATAATTTAATCAAAATAACAATAGGGATGGTATATAACCCAACAAAATATTTTGTATGTTAGTTACCATTCCAGGCACATTAAATCCCAACACAGGCCATTAGTAACCTAGAACCAAAACTCACATTTTTAAGACTCCTATTGCATTAGAATGGAAACTCCATAATGTTATTGACTGCAGTATCTCCAGTACCTGGCATTTAGTAGGTGATGGTAAACATTTGTTAATGAATGTATGATTAAAGGAATGAATAATAACTAAGTAATTAATTTTCTTTAGCCTCCTCCATGTATCAAACCTACCAAAAGGTGTTCCCAGTCAAATATTTCCTTCAAAATAATTTTCTTTCACCAATCATTTCAACAGTGGTGTCAAATGACATTCTCTCCTCCCATAATGATTACAAATGGCTCATTATATTTCCACAACTTCCCTGCTATTTAATCATGAATTTTCTCAATTAATTGAAAGTAAGTAGGACAGCAAAGTAACTACAGAAGTCCCCTTTATCTGCAGTTCATTTTCCATGGTTTCAGTTACCCACAGTCAACCACAGGCCAGAAGCAGATATCTTCCTTCTTACTATGATCAGAAAGTCAATAATAACCTAATGATACATCACAGTGTCTACATGATTCACCTCACTTCATTCATCTCATCACACAGGCATTTTATTGTTTCCCAACATTACAAGAAGGAGTACAGTACAAGATATTTTGAGAGAGAGACCACATTCATATAACTCTTATTCTAATACATTGTTATAACTGTTCTATTTTATTGTTGGTTATTGTTGTCAGTCTCTTACTATGCATAACTTATAACTTAAACTTTATCATAGGTATGAATGTGTAGGAGAAAGCAGTATATATAGGGTTCTGTACTATCTGTGGTTTCAGGCATCCACGGGGAGGTACTGGAATATATTCCCAATGGATAAGGGGCCACCACTGTAATTTTAAAACAGAACTTCTTTCATCACTTAATATATTTAATGTGCAAGGGAGTGGAGGGCGGGAAGTTAGAGAGATCAAATAGATAAGAACCTTACAAATTTGATTTCTCTCATTCTAAGTCAGACTCCTTTAGGCGTCACAAACTAAACAAAGTTGGGAAATACCTCAAGATCTATAGATAAGGACTATGCAAGCATACAGAAAAGTAATCAACCCAGTCTTAGGGAATGTTAATTAATATTTATATGTTGGTTGATAACCTGGGCCATATAAGTAAGCTGAGTCTTCTTTCAGAAACTAAAGAAAATGTTGAAGGTAAAGGTTTCTGTATTTTATTTAACTTTGCCACTGATTAGCTTTGTCATAGTTCATTATGAAATAAGGGCAAGAAATTCCTATGAAAGGAAACCAAGTATGGCAACTGACTGAAAGATAAAGTGTTCCTTTTATTTCAGAAGGTAATTGCACTTGGTTGAGTAAAATTATCAGGATAAATTATATAGAATAAATGAAATAATTTATCTATATAATATCAAGCAATAAAATTATTCTTAAATCAATGAACTTAATTTCAATTCAACAAAATAATAACATTCTATTATTTCAGAAGAAAACTACTTTATTTATAGGACTTCACAGGCTATCCTGAAATTCAGAAATCATGTTATACTCACATTGCTGGCTTAACATAGAGTTTTCTAATTGGGTCTGAATCTCTTGAAGATAATTTGAAGAGACCCAGAGGAAAAGGATAGCATGGCTCCTTTTACTGTGATCATCATCCTTACTTTTCCATAATCCAAACCTCTTTAAATGTGTGGTATCCACTAGCAATGAAACCTCATTCAGGGACACTGAAACAAACAAAAGATAAATAAGTAAACTTATTTATTTAGGAATACAACACTTATCCACTACATCACTCTTCCTTAATACACTATAGTTTTCAAAAATAATTATATGCAAAGTTTTTCAAAAATATTTCCATTGTACTTCACTAAACAGCTGAAATATCCCAAATATTATTTTTAAAATAATTTAGAAAGGGCAAAATAATTATTAAATGGTAATTAAATGTAGGAATTCATTTCTCACATTATATGATTGCAGTAAATCCAGGAAAGGAAAATATGAAATTAAATTTCCAAAGCATAAAAATCTTGTTTAGAGAGTTTTCTTATTAAAAATTCAGATATCACTACATAGAAGTGGGGGTGAAACTATCATACCAATGCAGAAAACTAAGCATAGTATAAGTTGGAATATTACATATTTTTATTTTGGTCAATACTATCAACCAAGACTCTAAACACTATCCTATCATAAGCCAATCATACCTATCCTTCTTCTCCCAAAACATCTGCATTTTACAATCAAAAGATTAGTAACTATGCACTAGCCACTATCAAGAGATTCTCAATAATAATATGAGCTTCTGAACAGTCTAACATGCATTTGTTTTAAAATTCTTCCAGGTTTTACATCTCAAAACTTATAGGTAATCACTCTAAATTATTACTCTCTCTTCCTCCTAGTAAGTTAAAAGATTCTCCTCTAAGGATATCTTTTTTATTTCAGAGAAACATAAAATACTTGTATAAAGAAGTTCTGAAGGCCATTCATCCCAACTTCTAAGAAAACAAGCAGGTACACTAGGAGTACAAATATCAGTTAAGTATAAACCCAAGACAGGTACCTACTTGAAACAATTCTTTTATACTCCTCCATCAGCTCCTGGCACCTAACTATTCAAAATACAGCCCTCACCCTGTAACACTGGCATCATATGCGAGCCAGTGTTCATCTTTATTAGAAATGCAGAGTATCAGGTCCCACCCTAGATGCACTGAATCAGAATCTTCAGTTCAACAAAACACCTCAGGTGATACATATGAACATTAAAGTATGAAAAGCATTTGACAATAAGCATTCAAATACTGACCAGTCATCTTCATGTTCTTACACCATTCAACTTTTAGCTATAAATTATTTCATTTTCAGCATCTTCTCTTTCATATTTCTTTCTTCCTTCATTCATTCTTTATTCTCCTTATTCCATTTCTCCATGTCTTGTCCCCTTTCTGTATTTCTATTTCTCCTTGGTACCTTTCTGCCCGCATACCTGCCTGCCTTCCTCACTTCCTATCCTGTCTTATCTTATCCTGTTTTCCCTCTTTCCTTTACTTTTTACTTACAGGATCCTTTAAAAAAACATTTTCATGCATCAACAACAAAAAAACAAACAACCGAATTAAAAAATGGGCAAAGGACAGGAACAGACATTTATCTAAGGAAGAAAAAAAGATGGCCAACAAGCACATGAAAAGATGTTCCACATCACTAATTATTAGGGAAATGAATATCAAAACCACAGTGAGCTACACCTCACACCAGTCAGAATGGCTTATATCTAAAAGACAATTAACAAGTGTTGGTGAGGATGTGGAGAAAAGGGAACCCTCCTACACTGTTGGTGAGAATTCAATTGGTACAGCCACTGTGTAAAGCAGTGAAAGTTCCTCAAAAAATTAAAAACAGAAATACCATTAGACTTAGTTAATTCCACTTCTAGGAATTTACCAAAAAAAAAGCAGTATCTCTGATTCCAAAAGATACATGCATCCCTATGTTTACTGCTGCATTATTTACAATAACCAAGATATATGGAAGCAATGAAACTCTCCATTAATAGATGAATGGATTAAAAAGATGTGGCATATATGCAAAATGGAATATCACTCAGCCACAAAAAATCCAGCCATTCGCAACAATATGGATGGATATAGAGGTATCGAAATAAGACAGGTGGAGAAAGACAAATACCACATGATTTTACATACTTCTTGAATATAAATGTAAAGCAAAACAGAATCAACAAAACAGCGATAGACTCATAGACACTGAGAAGTGACTAGTGGTTACAATGGGGGAGGGGGAGGGGTTGGGGTGGGTGGGTGGGGAGAGTGAAGGTGATAAAGGGGCACAAAAATTCTCAGTCATAATGTCAGTTGGTCACGGGGATAAGTATGCAGGATAGATAATATAGTAAATGATTTTGTAACATCTTCCTATGTTGACAGATAGTAGCTGTGCTATTTGGGGAGAAGATTTAGTAATATGGAAAACTATTAAACCAATGTGTTGCACACCTAAAACTAAAATAAGATTGCATAACTACAGTATTTAAATTTTAAAAATCTCATTTTTTATTTCTCTCTTTCTTTTTTTTAAATCTTTTCTATACTGACTTTATTACTGGGTTCTCCTTTTTAAAGTAAGTTCTACCTGAGATGGGAAAAAAGAGGGCAGTGTAGGAAAGCAAGGCAAAAACCTCCTCCCAGAATAATACAAAACATGAAAACACAGAAAATACAACTGGTCCTGAAATCAACCTGAAGACATCTGGCCACCTACATCTTGGGAAAAAGACAAGACCCTACAGGAAAGGGTAAAGTGACAAAGCCACGATTGAAGCCCTCTCACAATCCCATCCCGCAGGCAGGAGGAAGAGGAATGGAATAGCGAGGGAGTAGGAACCCAGGACCCTGAACACCGGGCCTGGAAATCTGCTTCAGGAACACAAGCCCCCATTGCTCAATACTCTGATGATTGGTGGAGCTGGACAACAGACAGGCAGAACACTCAGGGAGGGTGAGATCCAAGCCACCTGTAGGGAACAGGCACGCTCTATGGGGCCCTCTGAGAAAGAAAGCAAAGTGGGCCATTTGAAAGACTTCCCAGCAGTGAGAGGGGTGTCAGAGGGGCAAGGATTGCACAGTGCTCTCTGTTTAGGAGAAAGATCAAGTGGACAATACCACCTCAGTCTGCTCTCAACCCAACAGGTTGGGAACTCTCAGGACCTTCAGATGCTCCAACCCACTCGCTGGAAACACAGCCCGGAGTCTCCTCACATTGACATGCAGCCTGATGGCTGGCAGTGAAATCAAACATTACACCCAAACAGGCAGGGGGAGAACCCCCAGCTTGCTCAACCCTATTTTGGGCCTGCTTGGAGCTGCATGTTAAGAACCAGCCCCAGTAGCTCTTTCCTCCTGGCAGGGGCCAGTTCTGTTTGCCAGCGCCCCACCATCACAGCAGGCTTGGTGGGGCAGCTCCAGCCCAACAGCTGGCACACATGCACACCCAGCACCAGGAGCTCTCTTTCTTCCCAGCAGGAACTGGTCCTGCTCACCTGGACTGCCACTACTATGGCAGGAACAGATGGCAGCTCAAGAGAGTAGTGTCCCCTCTCTGTGAACAGCTGAAAGCCCACACAGCCTACCTGCAATCGTAACACCACGAGCAAGGCAAAACCATTACATACACACATTGCACACCAAGAGCCAGGGCTCCTGCTCAGGATTTGACCTGGGAACTAGAGGGCACCACTACACAAATCTATTATCAAATAAAAAACACTAAAAAAAAAAAAAAAAATGAAGAGATAGAGGAATCTGATCCAAACAAAATTCAAGAAAAAAAGGCCAGAAAGAGGGCTTAGTATAACTGAAATCACCAATCTCCTTGATAAATATTTCAAAATAAAACTCATAAAAATGCTCACGGAGCTACAGAAAAATATTCAAGATGTCAGAGAGGACTTCAACAAAGAGATAGAAATATTGAAAAAATACAGTATCTGAAGTGAAACATACAATGGAGGGAATTAAAAGGAGACTAGATAAGGCAGAGGAGATGGTAAATGATAGACAAATTAGAAAACAGGAAAACAAAGAGGCTGAGGCATAGAGAGAAAAAATATCTCTAGGAATGAAAGCATAATAAAAGAGCCATGCAACCAATTCAAATGGAAAATATTTGCTTTCTAAGGGCACCAGAAGAAGAGAGAGACAAAGGGATAGAAAGTCTCTTTGAAGAAATAATTATTGAAACCTTCCCAACTCTGGGGAAGGATATAGTCATTCAGGACATGGAAGTGCAGAGATCTAACAAAACAAGGAACCCTAGGAAGATAATGACAAGACATACAATAATTAAAATGGCAAAGATAAAGGACAAGGAGAGAGTATTAAAAGCAGCCAGAGAGAGAAAAAAGATCACTTATAAAGGAAACCCCATTAGGTTAGCATCAGACTTCTCAGTAGAAACCTTACAGGACAGAAGGGAGAGGAATGATATATTTAATGCAATAAAACAGAAGGGTCTTGAACCAAGAATACTCTACCCGAAAACATTCTCATTCAAATTTGAAGGAGGTGTTAATTTCCAGATAGGCAAAAGTTGATGAAATTCAGCACAAAACAAGCCATGTCTACTTGATCTCTTAAAGGAAATGCTCTATATGGAAATGCTCTAAGGTTTAATAGCTGTCACCAGAGAAAAATGTGCTGCCTACAGAGGCTCACTTCAAACACAAAGACATACCCAGGCTAAAAGTGAANGCCTAAATTCACAGTTAATTAAACTGGAAAAAGAAGAACAAATGAGGCCCAAAGTCAGTAGAGGGAGGGACATAATAAAGATCAGAGAAGAAATAAATAAAATGGAGAAGAATAAAACAATAGAAAGAATTAATGAAACCGAGAGCTAGTTCTTTGAGAAAAAAAAATAGATAAACCCCTAGCTAGACTTGTCAAGAAAAAAAGAGAATCTACACACATTAACAAAATCAGAAATGAAAAAAAGAAAAACCACTACAGACATAATGAAAATACAAAGAATTATTAAAGAATACTATGAAAAATTATATGCCAACAAATTTGATAACCTAGAAGAAATGGACAACTTTCTAGAAAAATACAACCTTCCAAAACTGACACAGGAAAAAACAGATACTCTGAACAGACCAATTATCATTAATTAAATTGAATTCATAATCAAAAAACTACCTAAG